GGGTGGTCCAGAAAATGGGATCCAGATGTTTGAGGTTCTAATTCGTAACAGATTGTAGGCTTCAACGTCAGTGAATTTTTGCGTTGCTTGTGCTAACTGCGGACTGTGTTTCAAGATGTGCAAGATAAAATATGCGACCGGCGATCTGTTCTCCGCTCCAAACCAGGAATCATTAGCGCACTGCGTTAGTGAAGATTTACGAATGGGGAAGGGAATCGCAGTTTTATTCAAAAAGAATTTTGGTCGAGTCACCGAGTTAAAGGAGCAGAGTGAGTTTTTTTTTTTTTTAAAAAAAAGAGAGAAATTGCGCATCCTCGCCATGGCGGTGCTATCTGAATCTCAGTACAATGAACTATTAGGGGGTAAGTTACAGCTCTCTCTCTCTCTCTTAACTTTTAAGCTTCAATCTGACGCTGCATTTTTTCTTCAGATCTCGTCTTGCAAGATACGGAGAGGACGAGCGTACCGCAGTTACAGTACGGTCGGTATTTTAACGCTCCTCGTTGTCCCGAGCGTCGCGGCATAACAAAAAATTAATTACAACATTTTAACAGATTTACAGGGGGATCGAGTCACTAGAGCTGCAAGGAGAGTGCAACGGAGACCGGATAATTCTACACAAAACGAAAAACGGAGCCGTCGTCTTACAAGCGTCAATCCTATCGAGGGGTCAAGACGTAGAGGAATTAAACGTCAGTTTTTGTTTATTTTTTTCTCGCGTTTATTTAGATCGAACCCTATTCCATTATTTTAAAGAAAGTTTCTCTGTTTTTATTTTTTACAGCGCAGAACAAGCTTTCCATCGTTAATGAATTAATTTCAGGTATTTTAAAAATCTATTATGTTTTATGCGTTACCGTCTTTAAAACGTTAGTAATTTATTTCTCTGATGCTTTTTTTTTTTTTTTGTAGAGGCTCTAATGCTTATCCACGCGGTTCCTGGTTCTGCTTCTGATCGCATATTGAGCAGGAAGAGACGGATCAGACATCACCGTCTTATGGAACGAGACAATAAGGCGTCTGTTACCGCATTACTGGATGCAAGTCAAATCCTCTTACGTGTACGTTAAATAAA